GAAAAACAAATAAATAAACTTCATATTGGAAAACATTTTCTCTTATATGAAATGAAAAAACAATAGCAAATTGATTATTATATATGAATCTTTTCAGTCGAGGGTAATGCGAGTCCGTCTCGACGAGCGTTATTTATTTATTTATATATGAAGAAATTGCTCTAGAGTTTCCTTTGTTGGTAAATTTTTCATTCATAATTACGTTTACCTTTTTTTCTTGAATAAATGGATCTTGAACTAGGTTTCATATTTAGTGAATTCTCACAGAAGTAGAACGAAGTAAAGTGAAGTACATGGAAGTGTAGAGAAGTATTTTATTTCTGAAGTATCGTTTTTTTTCCCTTGATAAAGCGTTATTACCAAAAAATAGTGACATCTAGATTATACTAGGCAAGATCAAAGTCTTTAAAAAAACCAATTCACCGTACAGTATAGTTAGATTGAACAACTTAACAGTTATTTAGAAAAAGAGGTTAGTCATGAAGTATTAAATACGAGTTATGTATTAAATTGATGAATAAAATGAAGGATTAATTATTTGAGACATGAAAGTTTGTTTATAAGAATACTGATGCTGCTATGCTCTGGATTAGTAACAACAATGTCAAGTAGAGAATCCTCGTTAAAATCGCCGGTAGTCATTCCACTATAATAAGTGCTTAGAGGAGCCATCGTGTCTACATCCGGTGCCAAAGTTCCATCACCATATCCAAGTCTAACAGTTATTCTTCGACCGCCGTCATAATATAATACAGCAATATCATCTTGTTTATCGTTATTGAAATCACCAAGTACGTATAATTGCCCTCTTCCTACAGCTCGATTGATTGTTGATGTAAAATTTCCGTTAGTATTTTGTAGAAGTATATCTGTAAAATTTTGTTGTTGTCCTTCGACAACAATATCCAGCAAATTATCATCATTGAAATGCCCGACGGCAAATGTTACAGGAATGTCACTATATGACGCAAGAACTGATTGTGAAAATGTTCCGGCACCATTTCCTCGAAGTAACAGCAGTTGATTTAGGCCGTTTGCAAGTGCAACAATATCTATATTACCGTCTCCATCGAAATCGACAGTAATCACAGTGATTCTGATGGAAGAGCTCAGTGAGATGGTTGGTTGCATCTGAAGACTTCCACCGCTCTGACCAAAAAGTACGTACATGTTGCTATCAAAGATGGAACCATAAACGATATCCTGTCGTTGATCATTGTTAATGTCAACAATTTTGATATAATAGACCACAGAAGATGGTGTGAAATTCGTTGGGTCTATCACAAAAGTTCCATCTCCATTTCCATGACAAATATACACTTTTTTAGGGCTGAAACCTGTGGCGACTACGATATCCATATTGTTGTCTTGATTTAATTGTCCAGCAGCGATTGAGAATACATTACTAGAAAATGAAATTGTTGATTTCAATGTGAAGCTTCCAGCACCATTTCCAAGAAAAATCTTTACTGTAAGACTTCCCTTATGGCCTACAGCGATATCCAGATGCTGATCATTATTCAAATCTCCAACAGCCAGTGATCTAGGGTCAGTATCAACTGTGATTGGATTACTCATTTCAAATGATAAAGTGCACACTAGAACGAGAAACAATAATAAAAATGTAGGAAGTCACCAAGTTGTTTCTACGAAAAGTGAAAAAGGAAATCAAATACATCTAGTGATTTTTTAAAAAGCTTTGCTATGTACTAATAATAGCATAATAATCGCCGATCAATGTATTATCAACAAAGTTATAACTATCTTGGTAAATACATAACGAACGAGGTCTTATAGGGATAGATATACTGCGAACACATGCTTTCCGATTCGATTATATCTTATTTGTTATCTTTCTTATATGTTATATCTGTCCCCTATACTGTGTAAAAAAAGGACTTATATCGAACCTTTTAGGTTTACTATTCTACGTACGGAACATTTACACAATTTATGAAACTAACAATGATTCCGTGGTATAAAATTTATGACTATTTTATGAACCTTGGAGAGCTGAGCCTGGTTTCGTAACATCTCTGCTAAATCTTTTTATAAATTTAAAGATTGTTTCTAATTTTTCACATCGACCTGTCCACGTAACGGTTTACTATTGTACGGAAAATCGATATATACAATTAGACAAAATTCATATGGACATCTTGTAGAGCAATATCAATAACATGGAAAAGCGCTTTTTCAGCTCCATGGGTATATCCGTCTTTAAAACAACTGTTGACACGAGGATCCGCGTGGATGGTCCAACTTTGCGCCTGCACAGACTCACACTCACATTCACGGCCCATTATGTGTGCAACCCTCTTTCCTGTCGATCAACAAAATGTTCCACACAAAATCTTTCTTTGTAGTATAATTTATAACAAAACTCTTTCCCTTACTAAAACAGCATTTTAGTAAAATGACACGCCTCCTCATTCGGAGTTTACTAATAAGATACAACAACAACCACCAATTGCACGTATCATATTAATATATACTCACCCTGACAGATATTTTTGACACAAAAACGGCTGACACAATCCAATCCTTTGGCGCATGTTAATCCATTGACACATGTTTGTTTATTTACACATGGTCCACCGCAATCAACACCCGTCTCTCCTTGATTCTGCTCACCATCAACACAAGTGGGTGCTAAAAATAAAGATAATTCTACCTTCAAATTCTGCATTAAAGTGATTTACCTTTGCATATTTGATTTTTATTACACCAGCCAGTCTTGCAATCCGTTGCTGCAACACATGCCGATCCATCATCACAAGCTTTTGACGGTGCACATGATCCGCCGCAATCAACACCCGTCTCTCCTTGATTCTGCTCACTATCAGAACAGGTGGGTGCTAAAGACAAAGATAATTCTACCTTCAAATTCTGCATTAAAGAGATTTACCTTTGCATATTTTGTTTTTATTACACCAACCAGTCTTGCAATCCGTTGCTGCAACACATGCCGATCCATCATCACAAGCTTTTGTCGGTGCACATGATCCGCCGCAATCAACACCCGTCTCTCCTTGATTCTGTTCACCATCAACACAAGTGGGTGCTAAAGACAAAGATAATTCTACCTTCAAATTCTGCATTAAAGTGATTTACCTTTGCATATTTTGTTTTTATTACACCAACCAGTCTTGCAATCTGTTGCTGCAACACATGCCGATCCATCATCACAAGCTTTTGTCGGTGCACATGGTCCACCACAATCTCTACCCGTCTCACCACCATTTTGCACTCCATCATTGCATTTGGGTGCTGGAAAAAGTATAAATAATAAAGAAGGTTGTGTGTCTTATGGTCAATGTGTTACCTTGACATACACCACGAGTGCAAACACCACTTGTACAGTCTGTTCCATTAATACAGTTCTGTCCTGAACCACAAATCTTGCCCTGCAATATACATGTTTTACCACCGCAGTCTTGGTCTGTTTCTTTGCCGTTTTTGATTCCATCAGTGCAAGTAGGTGCTGAAATAAAGAAAATAGTTCAGAGATGAACTGAGATCGGTTTCAAGGCGATTCTTCTGAGAACATAAGCATTATAATAGGAGGAATGATGTGATATATCTCTGAATAATGACTAGAATCCAGGACGATCCTTTGAAGAATATCTTATTGAAAGAGAGGTGATGGAAGAGTAAAAATACATCGAATGAATCTTTTTGATATTTCTATAAAAATGAAAAGCAAATCTGATTAGAATAGATACTAAGAAAGGGATCTCTTTGTTCTTTGCTTTTTGCCATAGTCAGTTATACGTTTTTATTTATACATATATTAGAAGGAAAACTTCTACCAATTAACAAAGATTCATGGTACAACTAAAAGAACTGAATGTTGTAATTTCCTACCGATAACGTCATCGAATAAGCATAGTGTGCATGAAATCGATAAGACTTGTCCATCAGCAGTTTGGATAGTAAGAAGAACGGTGTTTGAACCAAATACTGATGTAAATTTTGATTTGATTTGATTCAAACAATTCGTAATACAGTGATCAGTTCCACATTGTCCTTTGGGACATCTATTGACGATAATTAATATCGACATAGCACTACTATCCGATGTGCCGGTAATCGATCCATTATTAGTCATATTGCAAGATATGCCAGAACTAAACATAAAAAGATCTATGAAACATTTCAAACAATATAATATAAATCGGAATAACTGACCTTGTATCTCGTTTCCTCCTTTTCCCAGCAGCATTTAAAGCGGCTGATTGAACAGCAATAATATTAGATTGGTATCCCATGCGTTCATTGATCTATACCAAATAGATACTTGTATTGTAGCTCTGCAAAAAGAAATATATACAAACCTGCTGAGACAGTGAGTGGAGATTTGTTATTGGCAAAGTTGCACTACTAGCGTAGTTAGTTGCGAATGCCATTTTAATCGTTCTTTCAACTTGAGTACAAATAATGGAAATAAGAAGTATTATTAACATATAATTTACATACGATTAGTAGTAGTAGTTGACTGATCAGTACCCTTCTGAGAAAGATACAAAGGAATTATCGATAGAACGATGACTCCGCCGATTATCAATAAGCAACACGCGATGAGAAATATAGCTAATATAGCTTTCCATGTTGTCGGATACCTAAAAAGGACAGATATGAAAGAGAAAAGTCAATCGTAAGGATCGATGATTCTATATGTATACCATCTTCTTCCTTTTGGTGGTCCCTCAGGATCATTGCTGTTATGACCAGCCAAACTTCCCATTTCCATAATAAAAAAGAGTAAGGACTACCCCCCTCCCCCCCCCCCCCCCCCCGACATATTAAAAGATCCCTCCAGATTAGAAAATTCCCCCGATTAGAAGACCCTCTCCGACAAAAAGTTCAAAAGTTGTATTAGAATACCCCTCTTTATAAGATACTTTCGATGCATAAAACGATGATTAAATCGAAAAAATTACTGGAAAAAACTTACAGTAACACAGTGTTTCAGTAAAAACAACTCACTTAAAGCTTACTAATACATGGAAGTAGAAGTAGTTTGTTTTATATTTACATATTTTTACAATTTTGTGACTGTTTGATGATATTTAATAAATTAATGAAATTTTTAAGTAATTAATATTTTTTGTAGTAAATGTCGCTTTAAAAGACTCCCCTAATTAGAAGACCGCTCTGCCTATATTACACGCGAAGACACGTTAGAAGACCTCGGGTCTTTTAATCTGAGAGGGGGTTTACTTAATACTATCTATTGATTTACACATATTGATCAGATTTATAGGCTTACGATTAATCAAATCTATACAGTACTTTTCTATGCATATAAGTCTTTTTAACTAGTATGAAGAGAAATTACATAAAACTAACAAAGCCGATAACAACATAATTTTTACCGAAAACCAAAAAAGTACAGTACGAAACTGTTTTTGCACGAAATCTTTTTTAAGCGTCCGAACATTCTTTAGTTTCGACTAAAGCCATCTTTGTTTCCAGTGAGTCAATGATCCTATGACAATATATGAATGTTCATACACACTGGATCTGTCCATCGAAATACATGATGTTTGTTTTATAAGATCTCGATTTATGAGTCTAATAAAATCAAGACCGGTGTCACTGGACCCCTGGTTTCTATTCTACTATCTCTTTCGAAAGTAAAACGACAGCTTTCAAACCATATTTTACTCCTTCTTATTCTCAAATATGTATCAAATATGAAAACCCTAACCAATATGCTATTACTGATCAGGGAAAAAGGAAAAAAAATCGCAGCAAGTTATTTGACAAGGATGTGATTCAAGCGAAGAAAATAGTTTGTATACAAATAGAAGCTTACCGAAGTATTAGGTCTTTTTTCTTATTGTTGTTAAATTGAATAGTTTTTCGGTGTCAAGTAATATGTGAATACGCAAATTACTCTGAAACAAAGAAATAACGTTAAAATTCCGTTAGTGTTACTGAAAAATAGTTAAATAGTCATATAATTTAAGAGGGTGTGTGAGAACAAGGATGGGTATTGTCTCCAGCGTCATCCGCACATTCATAACAGCGCATATTTTACGATCAATTTCCTAAAACCATCTTCATCAGCAAACAAACAATTTCCAGCAGTACTGATCACATATATTTCATTTCCATAATTAAAATACATCTTCACATCAAGTTGTAGATTACCATAACATGTTCAATTCAGATTTAAATCCGCATAGATCTTCACTTAAACAACAATAATATCAAAAACATTCAAAATTATTTTGCACTGTTTTTTGAAAAAACCTGTCGATGGAAATACAAAATATCGATGAATCTAAAATAGATTATTTATATCAAATACTCATCATAAAAGAAGATGCACACTTGTTTAGTAAATGAATTGTTGTTATTTATTGAAATTATACCAAATTTGTCCACATTATCAGTAAACCATGTGTTTTTGTTTCCCATTATAGTATCATTTTCCTGACGTATATAATACAATCAATGGTAAAAACAATCACTTCATTAATGGTATTCCTGATGACTAAAAAAAAAGCACACAAATTTCTCGTCCAGATCTACATTGATGATATTCTAAACTAATAAAAGTATAAAAAAAGTATAGTGATTCATAATCAAATATTCATAGTTAGATGGCGCTTGTTCTGTGCTACGGTTATTGTCGACATGAATACTATCGATGTATGTTCTGATCATTGACATTTTGTATCACTGCTGCACCATCCGACATCAATAATCTAAAAGCTTCTACTCATACATTCATATAGATATCATTTTTAAATTAAAAATATACTGTACAAACTGTTTGTTACCGTGTTGGTATTATCATCGTTTTGAATATGAACATACAGATAATGTTTACTGCTTATATACAATGAGAGATGTCGGTAATTTTTATTTTTCTATTTTGTCGATGACTGGATGCGTTTTCTTTGCCTTTTTTACGTGAATGCCTTTTCCTTTTCCTTTTCCTTTTGCATATCTAAGAATGATTAAATAAATAAGTTTTACAGGTCAGCATAGAAAAAAGTACCCATAATTACCTCGTATAATTTCGCCAAAAATAGATACGGATTATAATCATGTCGTTTTTTGAAATATGAATCATTCATATAATTGATCTCGCCATCAACATGATTCAACGCGAATTTCAAAAGAGAAGATTGAAGAGAGAGAGATGAGAGAAATAGCAACACAAAATAATGTAATAAATAAATAAACAAGCAAACAAGAATAAATTTGTCTTGTGCCTTTTCCATTCAATCTAGAATTTCGTACTCTATGTTAGTATTTTCACTATTGAAGTATATTCGTTTCTACTTATTTTTCTTCCCTGAAACAACTTGACCAACTGAACAGAATTGAGCCAAAACTGAAACTATTCCGGTAGTCGTTTCGATATTCAATGAGAAAGCAGCCGAACCAAGTACTGATTGGATATGGGACTGCATTTGAGGTGCACATTACTCAATGCAATGTTTCGTAACACATTTCGCTCTTGGACATTTGTTATTATAAAGTACCAGGCCCAACAGATCACCACTATCCTCATCCTGTTTTGTTTCATTACCAGCTGCACTACAAGTAGGGATGCACCAAATCCGAATATTCGAATTCGAGTGGATTCGGATTCCGTTCGAAACGGATTCGAAAAGGGTCGTATCGGATGGNTGTGTCGAGCTTTATTGGTCGGAAAGAACGCTGTCGGTTAACACCGGACAATCTTTCTGCACCAGTGTTTCTTAGGGACAAGATTTTAACAACATAGTAGTTTTATTTGTTCAACTGTGTGATTTCTTTTTAAAGACGATTTTCTCGTCTGTTTTTCTCTGCATTATTACACCAGCGCGTTCACATTCATTTTCCATAAGCTATTCACGTGATGGGCACAATAAACATTCGAATCTCTCTCGAATCTCGGTTCTAAACTCAGTTTTCGGCGAACGAATTCGAATCCAACCGAATCTGGGATTCGCCGATAACAAACCCTATCGAACATTGGATTTGCAAATCCGAACCCACACGAATTCAAACCCGCAGGAATCGAATCTAACCGAATCCTCATGGAGCCGAGATCGAATCCTCGGTTCCGATTCGGATTCGGTGCATCCCTAACTACAAGTCATTCGTCCACTAAAAGAATCCACAATAGGGAAAAATATTCAATTAACAAAAAAACGGCTAAAGTAACTGATCTTATTTGGCGTTTTTTCCGATTATTCGTGTTTTGACCGATGCTATTGCCAAACGTAGTCGATAAAACGCTAACGATGCTTGATGTACAGTCAAGCTTCTCGTTTATCTATAGGATGAAGATACAAACAACACATTCTTAATCATAAAGAAGTTGCACTTACGTATTCAGCAACTGAACCATAGCCAGTTATTGTACGTTCTTGACTATCCAAGAGAACTCCATAACTCCTATCACGCTGTGCTAAAAGCGAAAGCTATTCTTTATCCTTCCACCGAACAAGTCCAATGTCTATCTTTCATACTAACAAAAACGCTGAAAAACAACACTTATCCTGCTCGACATCCAATAATCTTAACCATCATAGACGAAAAAACGGTAAAGATATAACTATCTAACCAGACATACAAACAAACAATCACTTCTTTCCAATTACCTTCTCAAATCGACAACAACCAGTTATTGACGCAGTAGCTGGACTCAGCTTCATGATACACGTTTTTCAACTCACCCTACATTCCCTTTCTACCCTAAAGACTAACAAAACCACTCTATCTAAATCCACCTACCATTACATTACATCAAACTAATAATTAGTTCCTCTTTCTCTCTTCAACCTTTAGAGAGCAGAAATTGTGTCCTAATACACGGTGAGATCAATCAGTACTAAGCGCCGCACAATACAGTGAATGTTTATTCCTATCTTAGTCAGATATTGAAATGCACGGATACCGATAATCCTAATCGATTAAATAAGAAGAAAAAACCATGGCCGGTTGATGTTTTTCTCTTTATCTGCAGAGAGAAAGAAGGCTCCTCTCAATAGAGATAAGAGAAGTGAAGAGGGATAGCAATTCAATAGGACGGATGTTTATTTTCATCCTGTTCAGCTACGAAATGAAATGAGAGGATACATACAATCTGAATCGGTTTTATTATGAGAAACGATGATTCGGTCTTGTTTTTTTCTTTACCTGTAGAGAGAAAGGATGCTCTTCTGATTGCTAGTAAGAGAAGTGAAGAGAGAAAGGTAGGCAATACGGTAGTTGTTTATTCTTACCTTGTTCAGGTACGAAATGAAATGAGAGGATACATACAATCTGAATCGGTTTTATTATGCGAAACGATGATTCGGTCTTGTTTTTTTCTTTACCTGTAGAGAGAAAGGATGCTCTTCTGATTGCTTGTAAGAGAAGCGAAGAGAGAAAGGTAGGCAATACGGGTGTGGGTGTGAGTGCAAGCTGCCATGACTAGTTTCGTCTTTATCAGAGACTTATCAAATGGCATCTATTCATAAAAACAATTTCTAATGATTAAATTCAATAAAAATCAAATCTAATCCTCAAAAATCATTTGAACAAATAGAATACCAATACATGTTTCGATGGACTTTCACCATCTCATCAGTTGGTTTAATCTACATAAGTGATAAAATAAATTCAAAACTAAATTGTATAGTCTCAAAAAGACTACCAATATTAATTTCAAATATTAATCTATCAACTGTAGTAGATATTCTAAACATTCAAATAAGAAATTTGAACAAATAGAATACCAATACATGTTTCAGTTATGTTTTCAAGATGGAAATAGGCTGTTGTGCTTCTGTTCTGATCAACATTGGCTGATAATATAAGACGAACATTATTTCACTGAGTAGGGTGGTTCTTGTAATGGAAGATTATTTCCGAGATTTTGCATGTACAATAAGTTCGATGTTTCAGTGCCAGTAGAAGTTCATTTTTTGTGGATGGTTTTTGATTCTACTACTCTCGATGACGAAAATCTATATAGAAGCTATCCTTCAGAAGTGAATAGCAGTTTAAATGACGGTTTTAATAGTACGTACAGATTTAAGATTTCTCGTGAGGGATAGGGTTGCATGCATATATTAGTATTGAAGGATACAGACATAGACATCAGTCGAGATCGATATTTTTTGGGTGAATTGGAAATGTTCTAAATTCGTATTCATGAAGTGAATTTTCAAGCGAAACACGTTAAGCTGTGAGTATAGACTTAGACGAAAGTTTTTGGTCAGTAATATGATGTTATGAAGAAAGTTATTATGACGAGGATAGCTACGTTGTTTAACAATGTAAGGATCTCATTGATGGGTACGAATTTCTGTTTGGAAAAGATAAAACATAGACATACCTTGAGATTGAGCTGGAAGAAAATTGACAATTGTTGAGTTTAGTTCAGATGATGGTTTGTAAAATTGCTATTGAAAATTTCTGAATGTTGTCTGTATATTGATGTCGTGACCAAAGTAGTGGTCAAATGAGATAATGCAGTATATCTGAAATATGAAGAAGAAGACAGTAAAAATGTGGGGTTTTCATACTAGAATTTTTATCCGAAGAACTTCTGGGATATTATTATTGATATTAAATATGTAGATAAAAGACATGCATAAAAATTAAAGAATATGTATGATACTGTATGCTGGGAAGTTGAAGCAATTGAAATTTTGCAATGGAAGAATTATATTGCATAGCTATATCGTAAAATTGAACAATTTTCAACATAAAGAACTAGTGAAAATATTAGTCGAACCTTATTTCTTGAATTATGTATTTGTGGTATTAATATCGATTAGCATAGATTTTAGTGGTTTGTTCTTCACTAATAAATGCTGCAGAGATTTATTAGATCTTGTGCCAATTTTTAATGCTACATTGTTTAATGGCGAACCAGGATACACATAATGATTTTTCCATAACTGTTTCAATCTTTGTTTGAATTCTGACATTGGACCACTGGAATAAATATAATGAACACGAATTTCTTTACTATTCCATTGTTCTCGCCTCTGTTCAGTTTGATTTG